TTTATTGATATTATTGTTGTAATTCGATTAGGCTTCCGCCTCTTTTTCTTAATAAAATTTATGCACTGTATACGGTCATTTTAAGCGCCCTATCTTCATATAATGTTCGCGACTTATTTCCATTTTGTCTTTCTGAAAGGCTATTGCATCGAGAAAGGGTTATGAATGCCTAAGCGCACCTATCGAAACTGTAAAGCAACAGCCGACATTTTCACCTAGTGCTTCACTTATTCTTCGAAAATGTTTGCATTGGTACCGAGAAAATGGCATTATAAGAACATTTTGATTCTGACTCCAATCTCGATCACAAAGTCTGTTTGCTCAAAGTCCTTTAGTTGGAAATCCACTGAATAGTCATGAGGCGGAAAAAATTATGGGTTTAGAGCTCCTTGAAAGTATTTCTTAATCAAAAATAAAATGTGTGAGCAACTATGTAACCGGTAAACATTACACTTATTTAACCTTGAGATGAATGAAAACTTTTTGAAAAGGGACAAACTTGGATTATATAAATGTGCTTTGAATATTTACGATTCTATCCGGATGTAACTTGCTTAGCAATTTTTTTCCTTCAGACTGTTTTTTCTTAAGCTATCTTCTTCTATCTTTGATCTTGAACCAATATTTGCAAGAATTTTGAATTTGGTTTTTTCAGAGTTCACGCGAACAAATTTCCTATCGACATTTTTCTCCAGACATTTGCCCGTGGTATCGTGAAAATGGATGATATAACTAAAGTAAGCGACGCGCTTCTGCTCTTCAACACCTAATTATAAAATTAGCCTTAGCAGCTTTATTGTTTAGTTCAATTTTGTCGTTGAACAACTCGCTCCAGCCGTTCCAGTCAAGCTTTCGGCTCTTCTAAGCGCCAGAGTTCGCTCGGTCAGTGTTTGGATGGCTACTTACGGTGACAGTGTGATCAATAACATCACTGTGATAATGCGACAAATTAGTGCGCAAAATTGATCGATATTTATTTATTAAATCTATTTAGTACCGTTATATATATATATATATATATATATATATATATATATATATATATATATCACAGGCAAGCATTGTTGTGTATTGTTTGGTTATCTCTGTGGTCGGCTTTTAATCATTCCAAAAAAATCTCACTATTGTGTCCTGTAAACGGGTTTTTGTCTGGTAACGTGCTTTTTGCTTGCTGTTAGAATAGAGAAATTTGAATCTTGCTGCGATTGCTATATCTTATGCATTCCCTTTCATTTCTGAAACTTCTAATGTGCTGAGTTTCGCCAGAATTTTTTTTTGAAAGGACGCTGACTCAAAAAGCATACTTTTCAAACTGTATTTCGATCCCGTTGCGCGCCTACCATGTTTTCATAGCACTGCAACTGTGAATTGCGATTGATGCCTGAAAAAGCGTTTTATTTAATTTTTCAATTGAAATAAACCCTCGAGGTTTGCAAGCTGGTAGGTTAAGACCGACTATTTAACTTTTGCATAGCCCACGACAAGAAGATACAAAATGGATGTGGTATTAATGAGTTTGCCATATGTCGCACTATGCAAATTATGAAGA